TCATAGACAAATTTGCCTTGCTTCAACCTCTCCGGGAAGATCCCCTCCTCGTAGCACTTGGCTATTAGGAAAAGTACGCGATCTTCCTCTGAAATCGGAATTTCTCCTAGTCCTGGGGGGGAGCAATCCTCCCTCCTTCCTTCACGCTCATCACCTCCTCCTTCCGACGCCATCGTGCCTTTGTACCGCTCGAGACTCGCCACTGCTCGTCACCGCTTACTGATGCGATACTTACGTGTTCGCCCCTCCCCGACTCCGCTTACTTTCGTACTTCAGTGTTTCCAATATTCGTCTTAAGCGCCCACTTTCGTCACGATCCTATTTGGTGTTGTCCCACTTCCTGCGTCTATACTCGCGTTATTGAAGAAAGCTTACTGCTGAAGGGCAGACGCCATAGGCGTACGCCAGTACACGTGAAACACGTAGATCACGACGAGAATAGAAAACACTCTCCTACGGGCCGGCTTGCCCTCGCCAATCTCCCTCCCAAAAGGCAAGATGCTCGGAAATCACCGAGCGAGACGACAGGGGGAAAACACCCGCGATGGCTATCATGGTGGTAGACCCGCGGGAAACCGGTTCGGCCACTACAGCCGAAGGCGCTAACTTAGAACGCATTCCACGTCAACCGCCGCGCTCCCCGGGCCTAGAGGCTTCGGGTAGCGCCACCGACAGCGCTGATCCGTGTCCACTCCGCTCACGCGAAATAGCGCTCCGGATTAGCGCTACGATTAGCGCTAGCGGAAGGCTCGCGGCCCCCTGTTTTTTACTTTTCACCCATTGAATTCAATTCAATTCATGAACTACTCACGATATATATATTGACGATATATATATATATAAATAATAAAATAAACAGACTAATATAGTGATTGCGTATCCTGGTGACAGGGTGGCTAGGATGTGGAGCGTGCTGTGCGACCTCCTTCCAAGAACAGAAGTTTGCCCTTGCTCGAGTCTGAAATGTTCCACGTGTATCTAGACTGCTTTGCAGACCCCAGATAAACGTACTAGAATGTCTTACAGTGGAGCAGGGCCCTTTCTTTGGTGTTTGACTTCTTCTTTCTTTTTCTTTTTTTTTTTTCACAACAGACACCCGCGTGTAACAGATGGCGTTAACAGCCCGGCACAGCAGCTGTTGCAGGAGGCTGGCATCGCTGGCTCCGATCTTATTCGTGGGGACCATCATACTTGTCGTATCGAATTAAACCACATGCTCCACCATTTGTCCAGTCCCCCATCAATTCCTCAAGCATTCCACAAGTACATCATAAAACAAATTATTATGGTCCGCCCTATGCACCGACAGAATCTCTACTTTCAGTTTTTTGTCTCCATAGCTACGTTCTTGTTCCCTCAGGGCCTTACGCCCGGACAGACCCGGCTACGTTCATGAAACAGATTAGTATGATCCGGCTACGTTCATGAAATTTCATGAAACAGATTAGTATGATCCGGCCGCAGCGGGCCGCTGCCGCCTGAGGAGCTTGTCCTTCCTTCCTGGCACGGCCGTGACATTGTCTTTATAGCAGTCCCCGTGGTCCCCGCACCCTGGGCGACTGGGTCCTGCAGCAGGCATTCTTTTTATCACTCCACGGAGTCCACGCTCCCATTGCTGGCACCTTTCTGCCGCCCCTGGCTTCCATCGAACTGCCATCTAACGGAATTCTGTCATCGCATCTTGGTAGAGCTGAGAAGCGGCAATTCCTTGCTATTATACTGTCCACGCGGTGCCTGTCCTGTCCCACTCCCCGGTATCAAGCGGGATTGCCGAAGCCCAATCCTGAAGCCCAGTGGCAGGATTCCTTCATATTCATCTACAGATAACAGGCTGCCTCCCATGACCGTCGGGGCTGGCTGGCGGTACTGCCCTTCATTTCTATTCGTAACATGGCTGGGTGGGGAGGGGGAGGGAGGGGGAGGAGTGACCGGAGGTAGGGGGGGTGGTTGGCCTTCTGGGAAGGGTGGGCAGCAGGGAAAGACAGTGGGGGGCGAGATGCGGAGGGGAGTCCCGGCGGGTGAGGGGGGGTGGAGCTGGTGGGACGCGCTGTGGCACTACCTTACAGCCCAGCACCTCCCCTGGAGCCCGTCTCATATTACTGGGGGAACATACTCCACAGTCCCGAAAATGGGAAGCCTTTGCACCGAACCTCTTTTCTTACATGAGACTTACGATGCTGATGCTGGCCTGGAGAATGCGGTGCTCCCATGAAAGGGACAAGTGCTTCTTTGGCTTTCTCCAAGTGCGAGAAGTGGCGATTACAACAATAACCAACCGTACCCAGGCAGCCTGGAAGCAGTTTAAAAAAGATCTCACACTTGCGAAAGACCACAATGAGAGACAACAATCCAAAGATATATTTCAATCAGCGTGGCTAGATAAAAACAGGAAGCTGGCCACACTGGACGATCATGAGAAGTTGGTATGGTATAGGTGGGTGGCGGACCAACCGACATGGGTGAGACTCCCTCGTTCTCATTTCAAGGTCCCGTACCAAGAACAAAACTTCGTTCTGGTCCCCCCCCTCCCCTCCCCCCTATAGATCGGATCAGTGCCTCTCCCCTACCCCCGTGAATCCTCCCAAACAGCCCCTCGTTCTGCCTTTTCTCTCTCCCTCATACCAGAGTACTGCCCTCCTACCTATTCTGCCCACGTTGGCCCCTCCTCCCCGGTGAGTCAAACCCCGTTTGGTCAAATTGGGATGATCGGAGTTAACAGCAACAGCGAGCGAACATCCGGAAACCGAAGGGCAGAAGATAGGACTGCTTGTGTTGTAGGGCAAGGTGGGAAGGAAGGAATTGGGGGGGTTAAGTTCGACTGCGGGGGGACGGCAGGGACCAGTGCAATAGAAGTGCACAGGGAAACGGTGGATAGAGCGGGCGGTCAACAGATTGGGAGAGGACGGATAGCGAGGTCAAAGAGACCTGTGTCTATGGGACCCGGAAAGGGGGGGTCGTAGACCAGAGGGCTTAATAGATACTGCTAAAAGGGCACACTGGCTGCAGGGAATTGCAGAGGATTGTGTAGGAACTGGGAACCGGCTGTGGGGAATTGCAGATGAGTTTCGTAGGAACAAATGGATATGGCGGTCTGCCCCTACAACAGTGCAGCAGGCCCCGTGCACATCTACTTTTCCTATGTTGTATAAAATGTAAGAAGGGACGCTGGACATGCTTTCCAGCAGGTGCAGCTCCCCACTAATAGATGGAGCCATCCAAAGCTGGGTCTGCTAATGGGGGATGCTCCTATCACCTCCATTAGCATGATCCACAACAGAGCGATGTTCTAAAGAAAAAAAGAAAAAAAGAAAAAAAAAAAGGGAGGGGGAGTGGCAGGGGGCGGGGCGCCGGGCTTAGTGTCGGGTGAGGCTCTGGAGGTAGTTGGTGAGGCTGGCCCTCTGGGAGGGGTGTACAGGTGGGCAAGCGATTGGGAGGCGAGATGGGAGGGGAAGGTGACGTTTGACGACGACTTCTCCAGGAAGAAAATGAATTCTCTGACAAACTCTGTCAGCTTTTTTTTTCTCCCATTTCCCCTAAGGGAATGACAAAAAGATGTCGTATGATGAGCTGGTTGGTGATCTAGGAGCGAGATCCCACTACCGATGTATGTGGGTTAGTGTTTAAGGTGTGTGACCGTCAGGCATCGTGGATTTGGCAGGAAATCAGCGGTAGCCTGTTTTTGTGACTTAAGCCCGAGAAAAGGATGTTTTCTTTTGCTCTCCCATTGGTAGGTTTCTCTTTTGTTTTTGGTGTTGGGGCCATGTCGCTGTCCCAAATGTGCGTGAAATCACAACCAAGTTTGTTGGTTTGTGAAATCACGCATGTTTCATTCACGGCAAAGGCAAAGACGAATGGCTTCATCGCTGGAAATTGATTGGGGTTTGGGAGGTGTTTGGGAGGGTTCGATCCCCTCACCTACAGCAAATGGTGTATGGAGTTACTCTTGCCCTCCTTTGCCAAAGAGAATTTCCGTCAGAACCACCAAACAGCGTGCACTGTGACCTATTTTAAAGAAGCCTCAGACTATTGTCAATGAATATGGTCCGTGTGCACACTCACGTGCAGTCGTCCTGACTGCCACAGCCATGGTCAGTGAATCACACCCTGACATCTGACACCCCGCCTGCAGCAGACACCATCTGTGAGAAGAGCACTTTCTTTTCTTTTTTAGCAGTTTTTTCTTCATTTCTGTGGTTCATGAAATGTTTTTTTGCGTTTATTTTCCCTATTTCACGCTGCCACCCACCTGTCCTCCACCCGTCCCACACCCATCACACTCATCCACATACATGGCTAGTGGGATCTCGCTCCAGGGGCCTCGTTGCACTAGCATCGAGTAAATCGGTGTGGCGTTCTTTTCTCATTTAAAAACGCATAAAACAATGTTTTTTTATCATTTACACGAATGCAAAGAAAAGGACCCAAAAAACGAAAAATTACGGGGCCTGACATCGACATCATGACAGAGCTTCAGTGCATCCACACTTCCACCAACCCGGTACATCTGCATGCGACCTTCCCGGCGGCCTGTTCGCAGTCTTCCACAGAAATCTCAATATTCTCAATTTTACCACATAAAAAAAGAAAACAACATCGATGCAAAAACGCCCCCCCCCTCGGACCTCCCTGAGGGCCTCGTTAGACCCTCCTTGAAAATCCTCAGGAATGTCCGAAGTTATGGTTACACCGCGTCCTAAAAAACAAAAATCCTTGAAAAAATGTGAAATTGCTCCCAAGAGATTTCCTTGGGTCCCTCGGAATCCCCAGCCATTGCGTCCTTGGATTCAAGGGGTCCTCGAGAGGTTCCTTGGGCTCAAGGATCCGCGATAGACGGGCCGTCGTCGAGCGTGCGTCGTGACGGGAAGTTTCTGTTTTTGCTGGTGCACATGACGTCCGTGGTCCATCGGGCGGACAATATTGGGTTGCTACCGGCGGGAGGTCACCAACGGCCTTCTGGTGTTACCGTTCGCGCGTACACGGCCGGGGGTCCCGCTTCGGGTGCAACAGACGTCGGAGCGGCGGGGTTCTCCTTCTGCACTTCGTCAGGTGTCGTGTCCAACGGTCGAATATTTCGAAATGTGTTTTATGTGCGGGGTGTGATGTTGTCGCCGGCCGCCCCGTTTGTTGCCATTCGTGTGCGCGCGTGAGGGTTGTTCGTTCGGGTGGTCATCTACACGTGGTGCGTTTCATGGCAGACATCTTCCGGCGGCTACCGCTCCTGTTACTAGCATCTCTTCTGCTGCTTCTTCTCATCTTTTTGCGCGCCTTCGTCGTGACGCGGCCTCGTGGGCGTAGACAGAGACGACGAGTGGATAGGAAGACGACGATGGACAGGCGGGACAGCTCCGTCGGACAGCAGAGACGTGTGGTGGATTTCTCCATTCCTGATCGGCCCCGGTCCGGCCATCGACCCGCCACATATGACCCGTCCTTGTACAGTCATCTTCCACCGCACGAACAGCCGCTACCGTCGGATCTGGAGGACGCCTGGGTTGAGGACCTGTCGCACACACTTCCTCTGTGGAGTGGATGTACGCAGGAGTGGACGAGCAGGCAGTGCCAGCAGAGGGAAGCAGGGACCACGCGCGAGTCGTTCACCGCATTGCTGGAGGAGGGTGTCGACAACGCCGCCACGGAGCTTGTGGACTTGGATTTCAGATTGTGCAGCGGGAGTGGTGCAAGTGGTCCGATCCACGGCGCAGGGGTGGTGGGATCGCCAACGTTGGGAGGAGGATCGTCCCGTGTCGGTGGGCCGACGAATGGGTGTCCTCCACCGGTCCCGAGTTCCATGGGCGCCGGGCCACTTGGCGAGTCGTCAAGGGCAGTGACACCCATCCGCCCGTCGGTGTCTTCGCCTACAATGCGGCAGAGGGTGACCGCAAGTGCTGCAATCAATGATGGGACTCCACCGGAAGACATCGGGAGGCAGGCGTGGGAGATCTGCCGCCTACAGATGCGGCGTGCTGCCACGGAGAACATAACCACCGGTGTGTCCAGGCTTCGTGTGGGGAGCGACGTGGATGCGGACGACAGGCGTCGGGCGAGTGGGGACCAGTCTCCGGATCCCCGTTACGAAGAGGACGCGGAAGACGGTGAGGGGCTGGAGATCCGACCCGTGGCTGCGCGTGGTGGACGGAGGGGAGGACGCGGACGTCAGCAGAGGGGCGAGTCTCGTTGTGGTCGAGGATCGAGGACTCCTGTGGGCGACAAGGGTGGCAAGCACCCAGCTTGGAGTGTGGAGGAGATGCTGAAGGTCGCTCGAGCGAAGCGGGATCAGCAAGCTCATTTCGAGGGAATGCCACACAACTACGGCTGCATGCGCAACAGGGAGTGGAAGTTGCTGGACCTGCAGAAGCGGCTGGCGGAGGTCGGAGTGGACAGGACAACGAACGACATAGGGAAGAAGTGGGACGTCTTCCAGCAGTACAAGAAGGTGCAGCGTTACCAGAACATTTCCGGTGGGAAGAACTTCTTCACATTAATTCCTGCAATGATGATCATCTGCGAGTGTGTTAATTCGACCTAGCCCAGCAATTGAACGGTGTGTCCCGTTGGAATGTGACGATGCGTTCCCTCAAATCTCACTTTCTCCTGTTTGGTGTGAATGTCCTTTTCTTCGTGCTGATTGGGTGACTGTTTGGAACGGTCGTGGGTTTCCAATGGGATGATACGTATGATCTACGCACCTCAGGACGGACAGCTTTGTCGGCAAGCCGATGAACTGATCCAATGATCGGTTGATCGGTTGCCCGCCAGACTCGTCCAAGCTAGGGTGTGATGCTCCGCGAGGACGGGCATTCCTGGTGGACTGGGTTTCAGATTGTTGATGAAAGCGCACTGTGAACTGCGCAGAAAAAAAAAAAAAAAACGCATTCACGCTTCCAGCCGTCCTGAGGAGACAAAAGATTAATGGAAGGCGCCCACATCGCCCCTAACATACAAACCGCAACACGAAGGGAAAAAAAAAAAGAAAAAAAAAAAAAAAAAACAATGAAACGAAAAAAATTGAAAGAGGAAAAAAAGGCATTTCGATTGCAATCACATACACGAAATCACAGCATCTTCACACAGCACCGATAGACGCACACACGCAGCCGGAACTCCACTCCAAAGTACACATTTGAAAAAAGGAGAACAAAAACGAGTCACCTCCGGACTGATTACCCCGCCGACAGACACCGTCTTCTTCGAAAACGAAATCGCGCAGCTGCGCGCACTCACTCACAACAAACCGCATCACCGGGCGTCAAAAACCTACTACAAAATGTTTAACAAAAAAAAAAAAAAGGAAAAAAATTGCGGATGAACAGCGTATCCGACGGGGTGGATGATCCAACCCCAACTCCACTCGCCGACGCACACCATTAGCATCGACCTCCCACAGCAAGTTGTCGTCGAACTTCATGCCAGCGTCAAGGAGGATGTTGTGCAGAATGCACACGGCCTGGAACTGTTGTGGGAGAGTGTCCATATTCGTCTTGTGTGTGCGGAGGAACAGCCTCCACATCCCTTTCAATCTCTCGAAAGCTCTCTCCACTGCTCCCTTGGAGACCTTTTGCTTGTTGTCGAACCTCTCCTCGTCGGGGATTTGATCGGTCCCCCTCAGAGGTGGCAACTGGAATATTTTTGAATACCTGTATCTTACCTACCCATACCCTCTTTGAGAACTAACCACCCATACCCACTGTATAGATGGCCTACCGGACCTTTACACATCCTTACATGCTTAAAAAAAAAAAAAAGTGTACCCGTATCTGCCCTACCTGAACCCCTTTAGACTGTAACTGCCCATAACTGCCCATGGACTTTCTGTTTCAAAACTACCCATGGCCACCTGCACCCAAACCTTTTATGAACCACCTGTACCGTACCCAACCAATTTTTTTTTCACCCCTACCCACCCGTACCCACCCACAATTGTATGCACACACCCATAATCATCCACACCTGTGACCCACCCTCCCCTAACCACCCCTAACTGTCCTCAACCGTCCCTAATTGCCCCTAAATGTCCCCAACCGCTCCTAACCATCCGCATTTGTGACCCACCC